ATAAGATAGTCTGAGTTGCAGGTGTTGACTACTACCGAGTCCAATAGCAGTTACGAATGGCTTGCTTTGGTTCTCTGGTGTGGGTATTTACCCCGAGGGCAAGGGGTGGCAGTGATTACAAAGGAATGATTGGCTCGAAGCTTGGTGTGGCTTCATTTCATCTTTGAGGTCTAGGCTTGACATGCCGAGAATGTCAGGATTGCCAGCCTGACCCAGTCCGATAATGCCCTATCTCTCCCGATCAATTAATCTCTGGCCCACCCACCGCCCCCGGGTGGATTCGACTCCCTGACCCTGCAGGACAGAGGGGGAAAGCAGACGGCCACACCTTTATCTTGCAGAACGGCTGGTGGGCTCACACCACCCATTAAAAAAAATTTTTCTTTACATATCATATAATTTAATTGTTCGATCATATGCAGAAGATTTGTGCCATCGTCACCACCATCCATTTCAGAACATTTTCTTCTTGTCCTCATTGTTGGTAGCTCCCTATTTCCCCATCCTCCCTGCCAGGCTCCGATCCAGTGACAGTCTCAATAGACCAACCTCTCCTGGACGTCCCATGCCAGAAAAGCATACAAAACAAACAGGAAGCAAGCAAACCGACCAACCACAGGACTAGACAAGACACGAAAACTTCAGGGAAAAAACAGACATATTAAATATCATTAAAAACTTCAATTAAAAATTGGAAGGTATTAACAAAACAGACACAGCTTGCAAATGACAGCACCGATGTTTGACTGAACCGGGGAGCCCTTCACCACTGGGCCAGCAGGGCTCCTGTGTCCCTGTGGTCCTAAAACAAGGTGGATCTGACAGTGTTGATGTTAGTGAGCTTCCTTGTCCCTTCTGAACAGCCCGTGGGCGGTCAGACGTGAACAAAATCCTTTTTCCCTACACTACTTTTTCTTAGTGGTTTTCTCATCTATTTTGGAATAATGGCTTCCCTGGGTATCCTCGAAGAGGCCCTGGTGGCATGGAGGATTAGGTGTTGACATGCTCACCACAAAGTCCGTAATTTGAAACTACCAAGCTCTCCACGGGAGAAAGAGGCTTTCCACTCCCATTAGGATTTATAGTATCAGAAACCCACAGGGGTATCTGAACTCTGTCTTAGAGGGCCCCTAAGGGTCAAAATGGACTGGATCGTAGTTTGTTTTCTCGGCTTTTGGCTGCCCTCTGGGGTGTGTGAGCAAGTTGGATTCTAAGCTGGGGATCAGGGAGTTAGTGTGTAAATGCTCTCTTCTTCCATCGTTCATGACTTTATGGATTGGACCACATTTCTCCCATAGCCTTGATGCTTCTGATTATTTCTGACAATTTTAACAGTTTTATGGACATAATCCAATGGTTTAAAGATTAAAAAGGGTTATGAAATCAATACCATAATAAATTTCAGAACAATGTCCTCATTCTTGTACTCATTATTTGCTTCCCATTTCCTAACAACTAGCTTCCCCTTTCTCCCCCACCATCATCCTAAGAAACGATTAATCCAGGTACTGTCTCTAAAGAGTGACCTGTTCTGGATCAACACCACCAGCAGTTTGGAGGCAGCAAGACTGGGCTGCCTTCTACTCCAGGAACAGGTACAGGCCCAGAAACCCACGGGGTGGGGTGGGGGTGGGGGTGGTCATTGTGAGTCAGCATCAACTGGATGGTAATGAGTTTGGGTTTTCGTTTGTTTCATGTAGAGGAATCCTGGTGGTGTAGTGGTTATGCGTTGGGCTGCCAACCAACAGGCCAGCAGTCTGAAACCACCAGCCGCTCCCTGAAGAGTTACAGTCTTGGAAACCCACAGGGGCAGTTCCACCCTGTCCTATAGGGTCACCACGAGTCAACCACTTGATTGACGGCAGTGAGTTTGGAGCTAGTTTTTGAGTTTCATATAAAGAAAAACAAACCAAAAAATACACACCCACTCCCACAACAATAACACAATACAACAGAGAAACACCTCAATCCCAAAGAAAGCAGAAAATAATAAAAAAACAAAAAACAAATTTAAAACTGGTCTCGGTTTTTATTTATAAGCAGAGGTTTGATCTCCTGGGGCAGCCGCTGTTCCTACCTGGCTTCCGCTACTACCACTGACTAGTAACAGTGTGGCACTGTGGAGAAAGCCCTTCTTTAACTCCCCAAATGAGGCAATCCAAGGACAAACAGCTAAGCCCAGAGGATGGTTTCGACATGGGGGTCCGGTTGAGTACTGGATTGCTGACTGGCGGTCTGACTACTCCTCGGGAGCAAGCGGTGGCAGTCTGCGTCCGTCATGATTTACAGCCTCGGAAACACTCGACAGCAGTGGGTGTTTTTGTGCTTGCTTTACGTGCAGCTGGGAGCCTGCCAGATGCAGAGAGGAGCTGACTCTCGCAGGGTGGACTCTTGAGTCTGAATGAAATAAACAATGGAGCAGCAGAAGAAAGAGACCGAAGGTCTGGTGGCCAGAACGAGCTTCTCCTCCGCCTGCATTGTTGTTCGCCAGTGTGTACAATGGGAGTAAACACGAAGAGATGGTTGACAGAAGCCTTGGGGTTCTGGCCCTGCAGTGATGGAAGCACTTGGCTGTTACCAATTGGTCAGCAGTTCAAATCCCCCAGTGGTTCAGAGGGAGAAACGTGGGAGCCTACTTCCACAAAGATGTTCAGGCTCAGAGAACCCATGCTGGTTTCTGAGACCCTATCTTTAAGGCGGGCTTTCTAAGGCTCATCTTCCTCCTGGCAGTGTGGCTGGTGGTTTCGGACTACTGACCTTGGAGTAAGCAGCCCAACTCCTAACCCACTACGCCACCAGGGTTCTATCAAAACTCTAGTAATTTATAAATGTTTCCTCAGTCTGAAAGACACAACCACAAAGAGGCAATATGGTTGTTTATACTCAAATCTCCCCAGCATACAGAAGGATGGCTAACTTGGACAGAAGACTGCAGCTCTCTCTCCTAAGAAAGGTCTGTTGGCAACTCCAGTTCTGCATCTGGGAAGAAAGGCCTAAGGTTTGTTGCCTAGTCCCTTAATGGTCAGTGGGCTTCTTTACTTGGGCACCTTAGGGACAGGTGACATATCCAGCCTTTTGCTGGATGGAGATCCTTAGAGCCCCGCCTCTCTGGCCTCTGCTTAGGACCATCCAGAGAGTAGCAAGGGAAAGAGAACAACTTAGGGAACTGTCAGGGAGCAGCATAGATCCACAGTTCCTTTTACCTGGGCTTTAGAATATAATGCTACGCTACAATTACACAGTGGCTGGCAATTTTCACAGATTCTCATACACACTGTTATTTTTGGAGTGTGATTGAAACAGCTCCAAGTGGTCATAGTTGTTATTCTCAGTTTTACAGATGAGAAATGGAGGCTTAAAGAAGCCAGTTTTCTGGATTCAAAAATTCTTGCTCTTTGCAACATTCTTATCATTATTTTAAAACAATTACAAACTCATGGAAGTTACAAAGAAATGCACCAGGATGTCCTTGCACTCTTTCCGTAGTGTTAGTGTCAGTGGTTCCATGTCATACAACTAGAGTGTAATAGCAAAACCAGGAAGCTGACATCGGCACAATCCAGAGCTTATTCAAATCTCACCAATTTTACATGCACGTGTGTGTATGTGTTTAAACCACTAAACCTAACCCACTGCCATCAAATCGATTCCAACTCACAGAGACCCTACAGGACAGAGTAGAACGTTCCCTCGGGTGCTAAGGCTGCACATAGTTTTAGGAGCAGACAACCTCATCTTTCTCTCAGGGATCACTGATGAATTTGAACCGCCAACTTGGCCATCTGGGATAGCTCTATGCAAGTTTATCATTCCTTTTTTATACATGAGCTGAATATGAAGGGGCTTGCAAAGGTTCATGGGGTGGGGACGGGCAGAATGAAAAGATAATGGAATTTTTTTCCATGATGCTTCTGAAACTCCCTTGTAGTATACTAGCAATATCAATTTCTCTTTCATTGCCATCAAGTCAGTTCCAACTCACGGTGACCCTATAGGACAGGGTAGAACCGTCCTTGTGGGTTTCTGAGACTGTAACTCTTTATAGTGGAGTAGAAAACCTTGTCTTTCTCCCATGGAGAGGCTAGTGGTTTTGAACTGCTGACCTTGTAGTTAGGGGCCCAACACATAACCTACTATGCCACCAAGGACCTGGAAATATTAAACAGGAGGTTAGATAATAAGAAAGAACCAAGTGGCTTTTCTGTCAACAAAACAGTATCTAACAGCAATGACATCTAGGGCCTAATAGGTGTTTTGTTATCAGGCCTCAGTGAAGAAGGAAGAAAAAAAATCTAACTTGTCAGCTCTTGGGATCAGTAGTCAGTGCAATGTGCCTTTGTGGGTACAACTTCTAGAGGGGATGATAGGTACATAATTGAGGTAGTTAGTTTATTGTGCCAACCTGGCCAATAAACACATGTGGGGTTAATTGAAAAGTGGAGAGAGAAATGGCTTGGTGAGCCTCGCCTTTCTAGTTCTTGGGTCTCTTGTTTTGTGATGGTCACACTAGGATGCAGCTGCCTTCCCCAGTTCCCTGCTTTGGCTGACAAGGCTTACTTCCTGCAAGACATCCCCAAGGAGAAGCCGCATGGACCGACCCCAATGCAGCTCTGGGTGCTAGAGCAGCTCTGTGGAGACCCCCGCCAGCGCTGAGATGCTAACACATTCACTGATTGGGCTTTCCTCCTGCAGTTGGTGCCATTGCGTGTGTTTTGTGAGATGGAGGAGGACTTTGTGGATTGGTGTTGGACATATGGGTTAATGTTGGACTTGTGGGCTTGGGCAGCACTGGGTTGGGATGTTTTCTTGATGTGCACTTAACCTTTATATAAAACTCTCTCTTATACATGAGTTTCTGTGGATTTGTTTCTCTAAAGTACCCAGACTAACACAATTTACTGATTTTACTGATAATCCAGAAAAACAATGAACTAATAATTGTGTCAGCGATCTTCTCTCACGCAGAAAAACCTCTTTCCGTAAAAGGGGATCGATCTTACCTTAACTTCGCATTTAGTCTCGTCACTTTCCTTTTCCAGGAAGTTCACACCGGCCTCCGTATGAGGGTCCTTGGGTATTTTCTGAGGAGAATCTAGAGGGACGAGGAGAAGCCGTCATCCATTTGTGTAGCTGACACACACAGCGCAGGGCGCACGGTCTGACTTGGACACAGAGCTAGCAAGATGATGCTGACGCAGTGGACTCGTAAGGCGTAACTCAACTGCTGGGGTGATTTCCTACACGGTGGCCGAGGAGGAGGCAGAGGAGAGATGCAGGAGAGAAACAGAATCCTGGACCCCAGAGACGACATCCGAGCTGAAGACACCGACACCACAGCCATTCCTCCACAGCCGGTCTCTGCCTGTGAGCCGGTGACAGTGACGGCGGTTCCATCGTCCTTCTTCAGGAACTTGTCCTGGGCTGTTCCACTCGGCTGCTTCAGCCTGTGTCCACTGTACTATGGAGTGTCGCATTCGACTGTGTTTGTGTTACAAGATCAGTTCTCCTAGAGATACCATATTGTATTGAATGGTTTTTTCCCTATCATAAAGGTTATTAATTCGCAGTCATGATAGAAAATTTGAAAAACACTCAAAATTTTACCATGAAACAAAACACCTTGTTACATTTCCTTATAGATTTCTTGAAACTCCTCTATATATACTTGTGCCCAAGCATGCGCGCACACGCGCGCGCGCACACACACACACACACACACACACACACACAACCACCACCAAATGCACTGCCATTGGGCTGACTAAGTAGAACTGTCCCTGTGGTCTTTGGAGACTATAACATTTTTATGGGGGCAGAAAGCCTCATTACTCTCCCTCCAAAGGGCTGATAGTCTTGAACTGCTGACTTTGCAGTTAGCAGTCCAATGCTTAAACCACTACACCTCCAGGGCTTCTCTCTCTCTCTCATCAGGAAAGGATATGTATGTCTGCCCTGGCCCAAAGCAGGCTGATCTAATGGCTGGACTCCAGGGTGAAGGCATCACATCGCTTAGTGGGGTGGGGGGTGGTGGTGGGGTGGTGGTGGTGGTGGTGATTGCGTGGGAGCATCAGTTGGTTGAGAGAGAATGAAATTAGACTGTCTGTTCCTGTTCTCCTCTGTCGGGCACTTTCTTTCCTCCCTTTCCCTCACCCTCTCTCTTCCACAGCTGCGCTTGGACACCCACCCACCCGGGAGACTTCATTCCGTTTCTTCAGGCTCCATGGTTATCTGCTGATAAGACCGGGACCTGAGGCTCTACCAGAGGGTTGAGCTGGGGATGGCAGCTGGAAGGCTAGTAGGCGACACTTGGAGTTTGTATTTGTCTCCGTGACCACCCCATGTATGTACAGATCCCGTGGGAAGCTTGCAGGATGCCGGTGACTCACCTGAGGTCTGAGCTGAGCATTTTGAGGGCCTCTCTAGCCACAGGGTTATGCTGAGACAAACCAACTCTATGGCCGTGAGGGAGGGTTGTTTTTTGTTTTGGGGTGTTTTTTTGGAGAAGGAGGGAACTTTCTACTCTTACAAAGATTTACAGTCTCAGAAACCCAGAGCGGGCAATTCTACTCTGTTCTGTAGGGTCACTGAGCCAGAATTGATTCAGAATCACCTACTCGTCCCATTCTAAGTGTAACAACATAGTTAAAGGCATGGACTCAGAAGCCGTAACTGCCAGGATTCACATCTAGCTCGCCCATGTACAAGTGGCCCGTGGCCAGAGCCGTCTCCATGCCTTCACCTCTGCGTCTGCCAAGTCGGAATAAAGACAAAGCCTTCGAGCAGGGCTGTTATGAATGAAATGAACAATGGAGTGTTCACCTCACGATAAGTGCCCAGTACATGTTAGCTACAGTCATGTGGAATTCCTTGTGGATTTCAGAGAGGTCCAATGTGCCCAAAGCACACAGCTCATGAGACTCCGAGCTGAGACCCCCCCAGATCTCCTCCACAAGCCCTTGGGCTCATGATCCCTCTACTGGGAAAGACCGGGGTTTACCTTGGCCCGGACCCAGTTACTAAGGAGTCAGACCAATGTGTTTATCATCCTGCTGGTGACCTGAGTTCACTCAGTGGTTAGGCTCCGAAACAAAAGGACAGGGCTGTTCTGCAAAGCAAGTTTGCCATCTGGCCAGGGCCTGTTCGGACACGATGAGGACCCGAGGGCCAGTACCTATGATGAAATCTTGTGTCTGAAAAGCTGAGGAACAATGGATCGTCGTGTAAGCCTGTCGCAGACATGTGTCTTAAAACGGGGGGAGGGGTCAAGTCATAGACGTGAGCCTGATGCCAGGAGGGGGAAAGAGCCCCAAATGAGGACAACTAAGTCTTGTTTCCAGCAGTGGGTCCTAAAAGGATGCGTGTGTGTGTGTGTGTGTGTGTGTGTGTACATGTGCATGTGTGTGAGTGCTGGTGTCTGTGGAACGTGTGTAGGTGTGTCTCAGTGTGCATGCATCTTTTGTGTGTTTGTACAAAAACTCAGGAACAAAATTCACCGAACTGTGATTGATCCAGGCTTACTTCTAAAACACGGGCTATGTGCTGGATAACAGGGTTGTCAAGGATACTGAATGGAGAACTGAAAGAAAACCACGGTTTTCAGCGAAATAAAACGGAGTTTGTTGCCCATAGGCCTATACTACAAGGGAAGTGAAAGGAAATCCCTCAAGCCAAAGAGAAATGACACAGCACAGTATTTCAGGTCTACAAGAAGGAATACGGACACCAGAAATATTAACGATGAAGGCAAACATAAGAGACTATATAGGTACATTTGATTGATTTCTGTTAATCTCTTCACAAAACTCGGGAGCTTAACCTCTGTAGACGCCACATTTATGATAGAAAAACAGCCCAGTGGTATTGAGGGGCTCATGGAACTATTCAGAGCTACGGAGGTAGGGTTGGTTCTATCTAGCAGCCCAGTAAGACAGAGTAGAAATGCCCAGCGAGATTCGAAGGCTGCAGCTTCGTGTGTTCGGTTGTGGTATAGTGGCTACAAGGTGGGCTGCGAGCTGAAAGGCCCACAGTTCAAAACCACCAGCTGCTCCCTGGGAGAAAGACAAGGCTTTCTACTCCTTTAAAGAGTCATAGTTTCAGAAACTCACAGGCTACCCTGTCCTACAGGGCTGCTATGAGCCAGCAGCGACTTGATAGCTGTGAGCTTGGCTTTTTGGGATTTTCTGTTTGAAACTAACTTGTGCATCCCAGGAGACTCCCAGTCATTTCCACAGCTCCTTTCCCTCCTTTTACAGCCCCTCAGAGCAGTGCTTAGGTCTGATGGGTGAGGACTCTGGAGGGCCTTTTAAAGCGGTGACGCTTCGCTCTCTCTTGAAGAAAGTGTTACATTTGATACTTGTGTAGATGTATTTTCATGTGTGTTTTCTCACTGTGCCTCTCATCGAATCACTGGCCGTGCCCAGGACACGGTCGGTCGTCCGTGTGGTTCTTTTCTGTCCTTGCTCTTCCTACTCCCCCTCCCTCCGGGCCTTCCCCTCCCTGCCCTCCCATCTTGGCTCCCTTGGGGTCTTTAAAGTCTTATCCTTTGGTGGGAGCACCATTTCTATTTTTTCTTTTATCACAATGGAGTTGCAAAATAGTTTATGTGATTGACTGACTTTGATGAGCATAATGTTCTCTGATTTTGTCCGTGTCTGGAGATTGTGTGACAGACTCACCATCGTTTTTTATGAGGATGTGTGACGGTCTTAGAGTTTGCCTGTCTGTTCCTCTACAGTCAGGGCTTTTTGTTTCCATCTTTTTGCTATTATAGAAATTGTTGCAATAAATATGGGTATGTATATGTCTGTCGTCCATTATTTCTGCAGGATATATATATATATATATATATATATATATATATATATATACCAAGTAGAGGATTGCAGGATCATGACGTATTTGTATTTGCATTTGTTCAAGGAAGCACCACACTGACTTCCACAGTGGCTGTACAATTCTGCAATCCTCAAGGCTGTACATTTTTATGGAGTCAGATGCTACTTTTTTGTTTTTCCTTTTTTCCTGCAGAGTGACTGGTGGGTTCAAACCACCTTGGGTTAGGAACCAAGCACTTTAACCACTGTGGCACCAAGGTTCCACACGAAACGATACTTGTCTATAGTCTAGATTAAGTGATATAATATGACTCTAAATACGTTGTGATGAATTAAAGATGCATATCATAATCGCTCCCCCTCATATACATGTCAAATTGGACACTGAACGAGGAAGAACGAGGAAGAATCAATGTGTATGAGTTGTGCTTGCGAAGAATATTGAAAAAGGACAAACAAATCTGTCTTGGAAGAAGTACGGCCAGAGCACTCCTTAAAAGCGTGGAGGGGGAGGCTTCCTCTCATGGACTTCAGGCATGTTGTCAGGAGATGCTGGTTCCTGGGGAAGGACGTCATACTTGGTAAAGTAGGGGGACAGGGCCAAGAGGAAGGCCCTCAACGAGATGGATGGACACCGCGGATGCAACAACGGCCTCCAGCCAGGGACAATCGTGAGGATGGCGTGAGGATGGCGCAGGGCCAGGCGGGCTTTCATTCTGCTATGCAGAGGTCAGTGTGGGTCGGAACCAACTGGGTGGCCCCTAGCAACATCGTAATCCCAAACCACTTCCTGTCGTGTGTGTGGGGAGGGGTGTGTGTGGGGGAG